GGAGGCACACAATTCCAGATTTCAAGTTTTATTACAAAGCGGCCATCGTTAAGACAGTGTGGTACTGGCACAAATATAGACACACAGATCAACACAACAGAATAAAAAACCACAATTACACAGTCAACTAATCTTTGACAAAGGAAGCAAGAATATGCAATGGGAAAAAGACAGTCTTCAACAAATGGTGATGGGAAAACTGGACAGCAACGTGCCAAAGAATTAACTGAACTGCTTTCTACAACATACACAAATATAAACTCAAAGTGGATTAAAGACCTAAATGTGAGATCTGAAACCATCAAAATTCTAGAAGAGAGTGCAGGCAGTAATTTTTCTGAAACCGGCTATAACAAGATTCTTCTAGATATGCCGCCAGAGGCAAGGGAAACAAAAGCAAAATCAACTATTGGTGCTGCATCAAAATAAAGAGCTCCTGCACAGCGAAGGAAATAATCAACAAAACAAAAAGACAACTTGCTGAAAGGGAGAAGATACTTACAAATGATATATCCAATAAAGGGTTAGTATCCAGACTATATAAAGACCTTATACAACTCAACTCCCAAAAAACAAATAATCCAATTGAAAAATTGTCAGAAGACATAAATACTTTTCTAGAGAAGACATCCAGATGACCAACTGACACATGAAAAGATGCTCAACATCACTCATCATCAGGGAAATAAAAATCCAAACCACAATGAGATACCAAATCCAAAATCCAAATACACAAGAAACAGCAAGTGCTGACGAGAATGTGGAGAAAAAGGAACCCTCTTGCCCTGATGGTAGGAATGAAAACTGGCGCAGCCACTGTGGAAGACAGTATGCAGGTTCCTCAGAAACTTAAAAACAGAAATTACCACATGATCCAGTAAATCCACCACTGGGTGGAATTTCCCCAAATAATTTATCCAAATAATAAAAATATACTAATTTGAAAAGATATACGCCCCCTTATGTTTTTAGAAGCATTATTTACAACAGCGAAATTATGGAAGCAGCCCAAGTGTCCGTCAACAGACGCATGGATAAAGAAGTGATGGTACATGTATGCAATGGAATATTACTCAGCAGTAAAAAAGAATGAAATCTTGCCATTTGCAACAACATGGATAGAGCTAGATAGTGAAGGCTAAGACAAATAAGTCAGAGAAAGACAAATACTGTATTATTTCACTCATGTGGAATTTAGGAGACTAAACAAAGAAAAAGGAGACAAACAAAACACCAGACTTGTAACTATGGAGAGCAAACAGGTGGTTAGCAGGGAGGAGGTGGGGGAGATGGGGCAAACAGGAGACAGAGATGAAGCGTACACTCACCACGATGCGCGCTGAGTAATGTACAGAATGGCTGAATCACTACACCTGAAACTATTGTAACACTGTATGATAACTATACTGGCCTTAAAAAAAATTAAATCTCTGACTTTCACCCATAATCACACACAAACAAAAGTGAGAACACTTCAGGGTCCCATGGTGAACCGCACCAGATCTTTGGGATATCACACAATTCCTGGACTCCACAAGCGGACACCCATTACTGCCGAGTGATGTGACCTTCTAGCGTCCTTGGTTTCACTCTGAGACCTGTGATCTCCCTAGCCCTGCACTTCAGATTCAGTCACCCTGGAACAGCATGCCCGATGATGAGGCGGTATCCTGCCTGTTAGCACAGCAAAATGCCCATATCCACGGATTTCTGTGTGTGCTGAATACAGACTCCTTGTGTATCCTTTACAACCCAGACTACTGGCTGAAAATTATCTTAGCTACATATATATGTATATACATATATATATATATATATCCCTAAATCTAATTTTCTAAGTAACAAAGGACAGTATTCACAGGAAGCTGCTCTCAGCAATTATAAATGATGTTTCTACAACTGTTTTCTACGTAAATCAGTCTGTGGGATGAGACCTCAGCGTTGCAAAACTTTGTTGGCTTACCTGGAAACAGTGCGTGTTTTTATTTTAAAGAGTTCTTTTCATCACAGAAAAATTAAGAAATTCTCTCAGCTTAAGAATCTCAAGAAACATCCTGCTTACTCACAAGATGTTCAACAGGACTCCAAAGCAATCCCATACACTACTCCTTTTAGAAGGAAAATAGCCTCCCCAAACCTCATTTCCTCATCAGCAGGCGACTACATAATCCATATAACCTATGTAATTTACCATCCCAACAAGGACTCTTGAGAGTGAAAGGGGGTGGGTCACCAGGTAGGACACTGGATAGCACGGGTCAACTGGGGCTGTCCTTCATGAACAGACAGTCACCTCTCACGTCAGAAGGAAGCTCGTTGGTTCAATCCCGCCACTTGTACCCCCTCAACACATACTAAAATCATTCTGGAGGATACACACTAACATATATATACACCTGCAGGCTCATACACGCACTTACATGTACCAATACATATGCACGCACATGTACACATACTTAGATGCTTAGGCCCTACACCAGACCAAGTAAATACGATTTCTGAAAAACGGACTAAATCTTGAACTACGACCATTATTAGAAGCTGCCCCAAATGATACAAACATGTAGCAGCGTTGAGCACTTGTGGACTGGATACCAGCTCCTACACCCTGGGATCTCAACTCCCCAGAATGAGTTTACAGCATCTGCTGTCATCAACATTTTACAACTGCAGACTACTCTCGTTTCTAGAACACAAAATATTCAATGTCAGTAAGACACTAACATTTATTGATGAAGGGTTTATAGTTCACAAAACACTTTCTCAGCATCTTTTTCCCCCCTCATATTAACCTTGCGAGAAAGTCAGATGGGCTATTATTATTAGGGACTTTCTGCAGATGAGGAAACTGAGGCTAATAAAATCCAATACACAGGTTATCTTATACGATGAGCATATGGGATAATCAAGCCTGGGTCCCGATTCTCAGGACAGCAGATGGGAGTGGGAATGAAGGATGCCTACCACAGGCCTGAACCCCACCTGTATTGCTATCAGCTCCAGGAGCTGGGACAAGTTACGTAACTCCTCTGTACGCTACCTCCAACATCAGAGTCATACTGGGCACCACTCGGAGTGCCGGCCTACGTACCGCGTGACATTCTACATGGCAGGCCTTAGTGCTGTGCCCAATAAATATTACTAGTAGTAGTATGGCTACTACACTCCTTCTCCTCTCATCCCTCCCCTGCTTTTACTGCCATAATTACTACCAAGACTGGAGCTAATAATAATAATCCCTGCGATCGGCAGAGTAAATGGTCCTTTAAACAGACAAACTTAATTATAATAAAAGCCTCTGAGCTACTCTTTACCCTCTTCCCACACACTCTGCCAACCCAACAGGAAGCGTGAGTGATCTTCCAAGATGACGCTATGAAACCAGACACCCCAGAAGTGCCAAAGCCGAAGTCTGGCCATCTCTGTGGGCCACAGCCAAGGTCAGGAGACCACAGGCAGGTGCTAAGCTGGGTGAGAAACCTCAGTGACCAGCAGCCTTGGAGAACGCCGCTCCCAGGTGCTTTCCAGAAAGCACGGAGAGCCACCACATGGGGGGCACTGGGCTGGGATGCCCGACCGCCGCACCTCCAGCCCTGATGCGGTGTTGAAAGCAAGGCCCCAAGCGTGCTGGAGAGGCCGCCGCCGAGGCCGGAGCACGGTCGTCGTTGGCGTGAGGGTGCCGCCATGGCCACCCCAGGGCTACCGCGCCGCAGGCAACCCTCCGGAGCCCACCCCGTGGAGGGGCAGTGCCACGTGTGGCTGCCACCACCGAGTCCGCCCCCAACTGCCCGGGCCCTTCCCACGGATCCCACACAAACATCCCACAGAAGTGCAGACTTCCCAGTGAACAAGACGGGCCCAAAGCACAGTCCCAAAGCCCCCCACACATTCCAACAAGCCTAGGCAACTGGGAAACGGTGAAGAAGATACATTCCGAGGGATGTCCTATTCTTTTACGAATTCCTACGAGTTTATTTCTTTGGAAAGTTCTAGAAGCTACAAAACATGTTTGACAGTCCACCTTCCAACAGAGCGCTTGCAATATGAGGCTGAAGGAGGAAACAAAGTGATTACAGATCATGTTCTAGGCATGTCATCTTTGCTTTGCAGATGAAATATGGTATGCCGCATGAGCTCAAAGATGTGAACACTTTAGTAATTCCAGATCTACAAATTGCAAGAAAAACAAATTAGATTTTAAAATGTATTCATTCCAAGGAACTAGCCTCCTTCAGGATATATTTTTCCTCTGAAGACAGAAAAGGTATCCTAAATGACTGCATTTCCATTTTCACCATTTAAATTCATCCTCATTGTAATTCATGTTTTTCAACATATTTAAAACACCAAGAATAATGAAAACCTTCTTGATAGATAATAAACTAAAGTATTAGTTTGACCTAGTAATCTAAATATTTTTAACATTAGTGGTATCATGGTTAGGAATAATAATAAAGTAGTTACTGTCTGACAGCATTCTCTGTTCTTTGCAATATGGGCTCATTTGGATTCAGATATGTTCTATAAACCACTACTTTATAGACTTTTTACTCTGGTGAATTAAATGTTTTTAATGTAAATATTTTATGGTTAGGATAATGACAATACAATAATTACACAGTTCTCTCTATGTGACAAATAGTATTGTGTGCTCCTTATGTGTATTAACTCAGCCTCATACACATTCTATAATTTTGGTGTAATCATTGTCCAAAATGTATAGATTAGGAAATGAGGAACAGAGATGTCAAGTAACCTTCCTAAGGGCACACAGCTCCAAGTGGTAGAGCCTGGATTGGAACAGTCAGCATGAACCAGGAAAAATGCTGACTCATCTTAAGCCATATCAATTAAACGTGTAGTCTAGGAGAATTGTGTAGGTAGGTAAATGTATCAATGCATATGCAAATCGAGTGATTTTAAATCGAATGGCTTTGATTTAAACAAATGTCTCCCAATTTTAAAACACAAATACATATGGTCCTTTTCAAAGCACTCACCCAGACGTGTTCAGTATGCCGTGGCGGCCTGGCCTCTCGTCCGAACCGCTAAAGCCCTGCAGGAATAGAGATAACAAGTTAGCGAGCCAGACAAGTCAATCCATCCTGGCACCTAGATCCACCTGGGCTGAGATCAGAACAAGCACTTTTCAGTGGTGCAACCATCATTTGGTCCCACTTCCGCAGTCAGTGGTCAGTAAGCATTCACTAAGCACCTGCTGCAGGCCACTCCCTCCGCTAAATCCTGGGGCTTCTCAAAGGTCTGACGCGGGGCGCCTGAGGGGCTTAGTTGTTAAGCCTATGACTTCGACTCAGGTCATGATCTCACAGTTCAGGAGTTCAAGCCCTGGGTCGGGCTCTGTGCTGACAACTTGAAGCCTGGAGCCTGATTCAGATTCTGTGCCTCCCTCCCTCTACCTCTCTGTCTGCCCCTCCCTGCTCACACTCTCTCTTTCTCTCCCTCAAAACTAAACATTAAAAATAAAAGAATAAAAATAAAATAAAAGGTCTGACCTGAACAGTCAGGTATCCGCAGTCCTAACTGCACCTTGACTATGACACAGCCCAACTAGCACATTTTCTTTTTTTTTTAAGTTTATTGTCAAGTTGGTTTCCATGTAACACCCAGTGCTCATCCCCACAAGTGCCCTCCTCCATGCCCGTCTCCCCCCCCCTCCCCCCACCCCCATCAGTCCTCAATTTGTTCTTGGCATTCAAGAGTCTCTCATAGTTTGCCTCGCTCCCTCTCCCCAACTATTTTTCCCCTTCTTCTCCTCCACGCTTTTACATGGACCTGAGCCCAAGGACTGGGCTGGGCGGGGGGCTCTATCACCCTGTGCCATCTCCCATCCAGGACTCGGTCTTCTGTCTTAGACTGGCCAGCTGTCATCTCTCTCCATCACTAGAGTGCAGTCTGCTTGTCTCATCCATGATTACGTCCACACACAGCAGTCCATCAATAGCACTGATCGAATACATTCATGGATTACAGAGACAATTCATAACCTCTAAATGCAAGCATGTGCAATGAAACACTTGAAGGTATGAGCTCTAAGGGGTGTGTTTAAACAAACCTGCTATATTATACACACCCTTGTCTTTATGCACTTAAACTTCTAGCATCAAGGCTCATGGCAGGTCAGAATTTATAAATTCATTGGAACCTAAGCTCAAACAGTTTGGTTACTAAAGTTTGTGGGGAGAGGTTACTTAGGTGGTTTAAAAAAAAACAAAAACAAAAAAAAAACAACCCTAGCAGCTAATTAAACATCGATACTTAATCTCTGTTCTGTTGTCATTCACAAGCGGGCACTATTATGTGCTAACATCATCTTCACCTGATACGATACTAGAAGCCATATATGTGAAAAGGAGTCTTACATACGTTTAATTGTATTCATTCACTATAGAATCATTTAAATTACTGTCAGTTATTTAGCTAGGTTTTCTCATATTAATGGCCATTTATACAACACTTTGTATTAAAATCTGAGATAGAAGGGGCACCTGGGTGGCTCAGTCGGTTAAGCATCTGACTTCGGCTCAGGTCATGAGCTCACGGTTTGTAGGTTCGAGCCCCGCATCAGGCTCTTTGCTGACAGCTAGCTCAGAGCCTGGAGCCTGTTTCAGATTCTGTGTCTCCTTCTCTCTCTCTGACCCTTCACTGTCTCTATTTCTCTCTCAAAAATAAATAAAACTTTAAAAAAAATCTGAGACAGAAATATCTAGGAAGTAAATTAGACACACATATGTGTGATATATACATCACACCTTAATTTTACAGGTGTAGTCACCATTTCGCTTCTCTAAATCTGTAGTCTTTGAATTTTCTATAATGAATATGTGCTTCTTTAGAAATAAGGAAAAATATTTTATTCTAAATCCTTAACTATTTTATTCTCAACGAAATGCTAACAGGATTACAAAGAACTGACATCTGTTTTGTAAAAGAATTATTCCCCCTTGAGTGCACACATGCAGTTTTACAGCCTGTTTTCAGGTCCTAGATATTACTTTTATATTAGCTCTATGAAAGCTATTGATTAATTATACTAGCTAATATAGAAATTATCTTATGCCTATTTTTTATTTTTTAAAGCATTTATGTACGTAAGTAAGTAATCTCTGCACTCCCAACAAAGGGCTACTCTTCTGACTGAGCCAACAAGGTACCTATCTTCTAATTATTTTTTACAGTTAACTTTCTTCACTTAAAAAAAAAAAATCATAAGCTGGACTTAATAAAGTAGTGGCTACGTGGCACCCCAATGACATTTTAAATAAAAATAAACATTAAGGGGCACCTGGGTAGCTCAGCTGGCTTAGCATCTGACTCTTGATTTTGGCTCCGGTCAAAATCCCAGGATCGTGGGATGAAGCCACGTGTTGAGTTCTACACTGAGCATGGAGTCTGCCTGGGATTCTCTCTCCCCCCTCCCTTTACGTCTCCCCTGCTCATGCTTACACCCACAATAGATGTGTCCACTTTCTCTCTCGCTCGCTCAAATAAAAAGGAAAAGAAAAATTCACCAGCATCAGAATACAGACACAGCTACGAAGTACAGGAGGAAAATAGAGAAAAAAAGTAAATGAACATTAAAACCAGTCTAAAGAAGTAACTATATAGCCATGTGACTTTTATTCATGACAGAATCTAGTTCATCTACATTTCAATTCAGTAAGTACCCTGCAGGCTTCCGCTGAGGAAGGCAAGAGATGAGAAGGACAAAAATGACCACCAGTAATCTAACTGGACTGCTTTCCGATGTTTACGTAGTTAATTTTGTATCAAGATTTCAGTCCTGACTCTGGTAAGCAACAACAGTAGGCCTTTGGATGCAGCACACAGAGGATTAAAAAGAGAGAGAGAAAAAACAAAAACAAAAAAACTGCTGTGAACGGTTTCTCACTCCTCTGTGGAGGTGATATGGGGCATAAAATACAGGGAGGGGAGACTCAGCCACTTCCAACTGGACTGAGGCCACATGAAACTGAGCCCTCCTAGGACCCATGCTTCTCGGTGGCATTCACATCCTTCTGGGGTGGGCAATGTCCCCGTCCATCAGCCAGCAGGGGGCAGCCTGAAAGTACTTAGACAAGACACTTCCTGAACATTCCAGGAAGCCTGTTTTTGCACGCAGGTCGGATCCACCTGGCATCAATTTTTGTGGGATTATGCACAGTGTCTTGGAGGATATGCAATCACTCTTCTGAAAGTCACTCATTAACTAAGGGCAAAGATTTATGAGAATCTGCTGTGCTTGTTACTGTCGTTTTAACGGAGTTCCTTGAATAAAATCAAGGATCACAAGTGTTCTCAACTCTTTGACAGCAGCCAACGTATAACCAGGGGGAAAAGGAAACTGTAAGAGGACGGTTTTTGTTCCAACAAAGTATATACTAAAACCAGCCTCTGTAATTTATTAGGTTCCAGTGAAATGGTTGAGAATTTAGCCCTGAGCACAGATGAACCTGGGCTCCTTTCCTTTGCTCTCTTACTGTCCAGGTCATCTGGGAAACGTGTCTCAATGTGTCCGTGAGGCCACTTTGTGTCCTTCTGAGCACTGATTGTGGAGACTGAGATGGGGAATATATGGATAGCAAGGACTCTGGGACACAGTAACTGTTCCCTGACTGTTATGAACTCTTACTGTTTTTAGGCACAGAACACTTAATCAATTACAAGGTACACTTCTGAACAGAGGGGCTCCACATCCAGTCATGTGCACCTTGAGAAATAAAGAAAGTGCATCTCCTGAGGCAGAGGAAAGAAAGACACGCCGATGGGAATCCACAAGAGCCTGGAAATCCAAAGTAGAGGCATGCTGTCTGCAGGCTTTCCCTTCCTAGTGACAATCCCCTAGGCTTCCATCTTTCCCTGGCTTCATATTCTCAGTTTTTTTAATGTTTATTTATTCTTGAGACAGACACAGCGCATGAGCATGGAAGGGTCAGAGAGAGGGAGACACAGAATCTGAAGCAGGCTCCAGGCTCTAAGCTGTCAGCACAGAGCCCAATGTGGGACTTGAACTCACCAACTCTGAGATCATGACCTGAGCTTAACTGACTGAGCCACCCAGGTGCCCTTCCCTGGCTTCATATTCTTAAAAAAATCTTTTATAATGTATATAATGACTTTCACTTTTTCACTCAGTGACCAATAGAATCTTAACTAATGCAGTCAATCTCAGGAATAATTTTTTAAGATGTAATTATTTCATTCTTTGAATTTATAAGTAGGATCCAATAACCAAGACAGTCTGATTTCAGGTGTAGCAAAAAAGGTCTTCTCTCCCATCTTCCTCTAAGATAACATCTGGGAATCCAGAAGAGTATTTTCGAGCAAGGCTTAATTGATGGGCTCCATGCCCAGAAGGACCCACACTTGGATTAACGATCTGCTGTCACCATCCTGAAATTAGTAATGCTTTAATCTTTCAACCTGTGTTTGCTTCTTTAAGATTTTTTCTATTATTTATGGGGTGCCTGGGTAGCTCAGTAAGTTGAGCATCTGACTCTTGGTTTCAACTCAGGTCATGATCTCATGAGGTCAAGCCCCACTTGGGATTCTCTCTCTGCCACTCCCCTGTTTGTGCATTTGCGCGCTCTCTCAAAATACATATTTAAAAAATGCTTTTTTTCTTAAGTAATATCTATACCCAACGTGGGGCTTGAATTTACAACCCCAAGATCAAGAGTCACATGTTCTACCAACTGAACCAAACAGGCACCCCTTTTTTAAATCTTTGTTTAGTTTTGAGGGAGAGAGAGAGCACAAGGGGGGGAGGTGTGGAAAGAGAGGGGGACAAGGGATTTGAAGCAGGCTCCACGCTAACAGCATTGGGCATTACGCAATGTCAACATGAATGATAAAATTCATGCCAGTAATTTAAAATTTTAGGGTTTTTTTTTTTCATTGAGAAAGACATTAAATAGCAAACAATAAAGTCTGTGACAAGTTGAGAGAGACAGACTGTGGAAATATGGACAAGACTTCGAATGGCACTCTGCCCCCTTCTTTTTGAACGAGAATTTTGTATTTTCCTCCTGCACTGGA